GACGGGACCAAGAACTCCTAGGGAAGGAGGAGCTGAACAACTTCATGGTTACATAACTGGGAACTGAAACATAATTTGAAACTGTCCCATAAAAAAAGGCATCTCTGTGCAGATGGCTGATGGCTTCATCAGAGAATTCTACCAAACATGCAGGAAGAATCAAGGGAGTTTTGCAGGAACTGTTCCAGAGAACAGGAAAAGACACACGGTCCCTTACCCACAAGCAAGCACCACCTGTACTTACAGTCAATGAGGATGGTGAGAGAAAGACAATTACAGGGCAATGAAAGCAAAGCCAAGACCCTGCCCTAGAACCCTCCACCCAGCCCAGCAGTGTTAGGAAAGATGAAAGGTCACAATTGTGTGCATCTATTGCAGGAGCATCAAACATCTATCTGGGGCTCCAGCATGTCAGCAGAACAAAGGGAGATGTCACAATCATCTTAATGGGTGCAGAAAGCACATTTGACAAAATCCAACGACTGTTTGTGGTTTTAAAAAGAACTCTTGGCAAAGAGCAGTGGAAGGAAGCTTACTCTGCTAAAGGGAGATTAAAAAAAAAAAACTCAGCAAAATTACATTTAGTGTGAACTAGAACATCAGGAACCAGACCACTGCCATTCAGTTATAGTATATGAGGTCCCGGCAGGAGTATCAAGGAGGAGGAAGGAACGTGACAAGGACCAGCCTCCAAGAAGGCGAACCTCCTTACATAGGAAATCAGCACGATCCAGAGGCTGGAACTGACAGGCATGCTTAGCACGTCACTGGATATAAGGTCATCATACAAAAGCCCATGTCACTTCCACAGGCCAGCACTGAGCAGAAAACAAACTATGTACAAAGATGTCATTACAATAATACCACAAATTCAAATATCCATGACAACTATAATAGAAAATGCACAAGGTCCCTTCACAGACAACTGCAAGGCATTATCCAGGGGATAGAGGGAGGCTCGGAACAGTGGAGAGATGCTCGTGGTCATGATCAGAGCCTTACAAAGACCTGTGGAAGAGCAGAGCTGTTGTCATCCAATCAGATTCCTAGGTACACAGCAAACTGGTTTAGAATGTGTCGTGACCTAAAGGACCAAGAGTAGCCAAGACACTGCCGAAGGGAATGCAGGGCATTGGGGCCAGCGTGCATGTGGAGAGCTCTGCAGCCCTCAAGAAGGTGGTGCTGCTGTAGCCTGTGTGCTGGGGGTGTGGCCTCCTGGCCAGTCAGCTGGAGGTGGACTGTCCCTTCTCCACTGGGCTCTATCCAGTTTCCCAGAGCTGTTTCTCACCAAGGGTGCCGGGTGGGGAGCCCAGTGTCAGAAGTCACAGGTGTCAGAAGTTCCCTTGGGCAGTTTCCCTGCCCCACATGTTGCAAGGGGCAGTTGAGCTGGTGACGCCTGTCCCCTCTGTGCTGATCTCACCTCCACACCCAGGCACACACAGACCTCCTGTGGGGAAGGCAACAGGGACATGGGCCAGGAGCTCAGCAAGGTGGCACACGGGGCGTGTGCTGGTAATATGAACTTCACGGGCGCCCTCACAGTTGTGTGACTTCTGTCAGGTGGATGGGACCCCCCCCCAAGTGGAGGGACTGCAGCAGCTGCTGCCAGAAGCTGGTGCTCAGGCGTCAGGGGCTGGCAAGGCAACAGCCAGCTTCCCCTCAACAGCAACTGCAGGAAGCGCCTGTCACCTGGGAGGGTGGGCTCCACCTGTGCTCCAGCTGCCCCAGCCCTCCTGCAAGGAGGGCCAGCACGAGACAGCTCACGTGCCCAGAGTTCAGCAGCCACACACCGAGGCCTCCTTGCGGGTCTGCTCCCTCCACACACAAATGGCCTTATCACTTACCTCCACCCTGTAAGGGGAGCATGCATGAGCTTTAGGTCACTACAAGCAAAAAAAAAAGGTTAAAAATGGTTCGTTTTTTAAATATTTTTTTAATATTTATTTTTTGGTGTAGATGGACACAACACAATGCATTTTATTTTTATGTCGTGCTGAGGATTGAACCACCGTCCTACCCATGCTAGGTGAGCGCTCTACCACTGAGCCACAATCCCAGCCCCTGTTTTTTAAATATTTAGCTTACTAAAACTTACATGTGTTTGTCACACCTTCTGATAAAGGGTCAATAGAAACTTTTAAGTAATAAAAACATGTCACTAGAGGACACGGTTCTGGGCAAAACGAGATGCCTAGGATGAGCTAAGGGACAGATGTTCAGAGAAGATTTCTAACCTAGAAAAAAAGTGTTTATGGATTTTGTGGATGATAGATGGTGGGTAAAAAACCACTTTGGTATTTAGCTTCTTGGGTACGTTGACAGAAGTGACTAACAGTTTTATTTTAGAGCATCAATATTTATACCCCACAAGAAATTACCTTCTTTGCAATTATTTATATTTTTTATTTTTTAAAAAATTTAGATGTTGACTTCAAAATATACAAGTGATTTGACAGCTTGTCAAGCCCCTCCTGGGAGAGCTAGAGCCAAGACTTCAAAGTCCCCGCCTACCTGCCTTGTCAAGCTGAGCCAACTGCATGCCGCAGCACAGGAGTGAGCCATCATCTGGTGGAGAGAGGGGCAGAAGAACAGGACAAATCCCAACAGCAGCTGAATGTGACAAGCGCCTGGTGCAACATGGAGCCAGATTTCAGAACAAGTGTCCAAGGCTGGGTCCCTGAGTGCCTTGAGGAGGAGGGCGTTCAGGGCAGGCAGGCCCTGGGCAGGGTGGGCAGGGACCCAACAGGCAAATGTCAATGCAGAAGGGAGGGTCTTGCAGGAGGAGTGATGGAGGGGGACAGAGGAGGGAACATTCAGGGAAAAGTAAAAATTGAGAAGCTAGCTGTTGGAAGACAGGAGTGCCACCAAAGCCAGGGCCAGATGGTGCAGCCTGGCTGCTCTGAAGAAGTCCGACGTCCCTGGAGAGACCGCCAGAGGAAGGTGTGCCCTCTAGGCATGTGGTAGGCACACACGCAGGAAGGCCACTCCCACAATGTGTTCATGGAGGACCCATCAGAGGCCACTTGGTGGTTAGAGCAGCCACAGGGCTGACTCATCAGCTCTGGGAAGATGTGGCCCAACCCAGACCTGCTCTGGTCTAAGCACCCAACATGAAGCGAGTACTCTGACGCGTGAGGTACCAGAACACAGGGCGGTACGTGTTGGGGCCAGCGTTGCTGTGAACGCATGGCACGTGCTCAGTGAGCCAACCGGACACCGGCTGCATGAGAGTGAAGGCAAGACAGCCTGAGGGCAGACGCAGCCTGAGGACTACTGATCCTAACTCCTAAACACCCCAGGGGGGCAGTGACAAAGTTTGATTCAGGGGCACCTGAAGTCCTGACAAAACCCACCTCCACCAGCACCAGGCTGTGGTCTTCTCCTTGTGGCCATGCACCCCCAGATCTCCCTGAGGGACACAGGGGGCAGGGGAGATAGAGGCGCCCCACCCACACCCAGACTTTGACAAATGAGCATGCACCTCCAAACCCAGGTTCCAAAGACGGATGCCACCCCAGCCTGGGGCTGGAACAGGTCTGCTGGCTGTGTCTCCCCTCCTCCTGAGGCTAGGGCTAGGGCTAGGGCTGTTGCAGACCCTATGCGGTGCCCAGAGAAAGAGCAGGGCCAGCTGGCCAAGGCCGCTCAACTATGAGATGTCTTTTCTCCAACTGTGGTTTCCTGTGCTCCCCAACCCACCCTGACTACTGATCCTAACTCCTAAACAACCCAGGGGGGCAGTGACAAAGTTTGATTCAGCTGACTTGGCTGGCCCTGGAGCCAGGTCTTGTTTTGTTTTTTGAGATGAGGTCTCACTATGTGGCCCAAACCGACCTCCAATTCTTGGATTTAAGTGATCCTCCTGTCTCCACCTCCAGAGTGGCTGTAAGTACAGGTGCACCCCAGCATGCCATGCTTAGAATCAGGTTTTGAACAGTGGGGCTGCACCCAACTACTTCCAGCCATTTTTCCAGGGTCCTGGGTGACCCTTACACCTGCCAGCAAGGAGGAGCCTGTGGGAACCTGCCCCAAGGACAGAATGTGTCCCTGTCCACACTGCACTCTTAGGCTCTACAGGACCTGTCACAAGGAGTACTATTAAGAACCTCCTAGCCAAGCTCTGGAGTTAGGGCCAGCTGCAGGGGGAGCCCAGCCAGTGTCCTCTCTCCTGAGAGACCTGACCCACAGTCCTGCTCTCTAAGGCATGGGGAGACCCCACCAAGATGACCAGAGTACTGTGCACCCTTTTGTGGAAAGGTGGGAGGCAGGAGTCCTAGCCCTGGGTAAAGCTTGGGGAGTGGGGAGAGGGGCAGGCGGGGAACTGGGTCTCTGCTATGCTGAGGGGCAAGCATCCTGGCTGTCGGCCCCACCACAGCAAGACTCATCCTGGTGCTCAGGGAAGCCCAGCGCCCTGTCCTCCAGCCACCTGCGCGGCCACTGAGGAGACTGCTGCAACCTAGCTGGTCCCTAGGGGAGACTGCACAGGAATCAGGCAAAGGTCACCGTCTGTGGTGTTCTCCTGGTGGGCTAGGCCCCTACACCCTGGGCGTGCAGGGGTGGGCACAGACCCGGCCGGCCGCTGCGGATCCAAAGTGGCTCCGCCCCTAACAGTCACAGCGGCGGGCGCGGGCGGCGCGCCGTTCACCCTGGACTCCGACGTCTCTTCGGAGGACGCCTGGGCCCCGCGGAGCCCCCGGGCCGGCGAAGTGACACGGCCCTCGGCACCGCCCCGGCCCCGCCCCAGGCGTCCCCCGCGCCGCCGCCGGGCGACACTGCGGCAGGCGGCGGGCGCGTTGCCATGGCGGCCAGGCGCGCGTAGCCGGTGGTGCCCAGCGCGGCCCAGCGGGCGCAGAGGCGGCGGCCAGCCTCAGAGGGGACCTCCCGGGAGGGGACCCCAGGGGAGCCAGCTGCGGGGCAGGGACCCGCGGGGACGCAAGGGCCAGCGAGGGGCGCCGACGTGGCCGAAGCACCAGCCCGCCGCGCAGGCCGGGCGAGCACGTAGGATGCAGGCCATGGACCCCGCCGCCAGCTTCTATGAGGAGGAAGGCAAGGACCTGGACTTCTACGACTTTGAGCCGCTCCCCACTCTGCCGGAGGACGAGGTGAGCCCTGGACACTGGGGGACCCCACCTGCCCTGGCGCAGAGGTCAGTGGAGGAACGGGGAGGGCCGGGCGGCGTCCGCCCCCGCAGACCCCGTGGGGCAGGTGGTGGCCGCTGGGAGTCCCTGTTCTCATATCTCCCAGCGCTGCTGGCATGCCTCATGGGACAGCAGTGGAAGCTGTCACTGCAGAAGTTGGTGCCCAGCTTGGGGTGGGCTTCTTATAACTGTTGGGTAGACAGTGGGGCACCGTCAGCACCGGTCAGTATAGGGCACTGTGTACCTTTGCAGTCGGCCAGCTTCACGAGCGTGGGTGGAGGGTCATTGCAGGGTGAGAGCGTCCGTCCCTAGGACTGAGCTGTGCTTCCTGCCCTGGACTTGGGAACCTGAGGCAGGCCCACCCTCCCACCGGGCACTCTGCCTGTGGTCTCCACCCCTAAGGGACAGAGAGGTGGGCCCACCTGGCCCCACAGGCTATGTTGGAGTCCCATGCACAAACTCCATGTTTTGAACAAGTATGAAAGCAGCCCCCAGAGGGTGCAGCCACCCCCCGGGGACGCCCTCTCCTTGCAGAACATGGGGTCTTTGGGAGAGCTTCCAACCTGGACTACTGGCTCTCTGTTGAGGAATACAGCATTCTGCAGCCACTGGGGACAGTGAGATGCTGAAGACCTGCTCCAGCCCTTGTGGGCAAACTGGCCCACTGATGAGTGGAACTTGGTCAGAACGTTCCCGGAGCAGAGGCCCCACGGCTGCAGTCCCCAGAGCCTGTCCCCTCTGCCAGCCCCACACTTCCCCAGGGAGTGAGCTCCAGAGGAAGAAGGAATCCATTGCTGCTGCCTGGCCACCCAGAGGCCACTTGGACAGTGCAGGGGGTTGGCACTGCCCCCACCCTCGATGTGGCCTGGATTTGGTGCAATTAAAGGCCGCAGAGAGGAGAAGCCAGGAAATAAATAAACCTTTATATATCTCCCTGTCTTTGATGGAAAAGAAAGGGTGTCCTCAGCCACAGCCTTCAGAAACTCCCCCAGAGGACACGCTTCAGTGTACCCCTCAGAAGATTCGCCCTCTAGTCGCCATTGGAAGCAGATCTGAGAATGTGGTTCTGCACACAGCACCTTTGTGCACCAGCTGCTGAGCTTGGAGGGTCTGCTCTGTGCCCGGCACTCCAGGCAGCAGCAGGCACCAAACAGGGCAATGCCAGGTCTGAACACAAGCCTTGCACCTCAAGCGTGGTCTGCCCTCCCCTCCCACTGTGCCCTGCTGCCTTCTGTCACAGGAGTGTACCAGCACCCCCTAGACTGCATCAGCTTCCATGTGCACGGTGCGTGGGAGGGTCTCCTCTGTGACACTGCCATTTTAGTGGTGTCCAGTGGGAAGTTCAGGTGGGTCTCTCAGCAGGGGAGGGTGCTGCCTTCTCTCCTATTAGTAGGAGTGGGTTGCCCAGGGCCCAGTCTTGAATCGACGGATGTCCCGTGTCTGAGAGCAGGCCTGGGGTCCAGATGTCATGCCTCCTGCACTGCCTGGCTTGGTTCGCGTGGGAGAAATGTGCTTTGCACCTGTCAGCCTTCGGCACCTGTCCTACAGGGTGAGGAAGAGAGCAGCTGCCATGTCACCTGGAGGCCATCGCTGCAGGAGCCTCCAAAGAACACAGCTCCCAGGGCAGTGCCAATGAGGACACAACAGACCACATGGGACCAATGAGGTCAAGAAGTGAACCTTATAGACAGCAGGCCCAGGATGGCCCTTCCCCATCATGACCCAGAGAAAGTCCAAATGGCTGGCAAAGTCGAGAGAAAGTTCACTACAGTCAGCGGGATGCAGAATGTGCCCATCCTGAATACTTTTCCATAGCCACCAGATGGCGATGACCAAGGTGGACAATGGTGTGTGTGGGCAGGACCTACTTGCTGGCTATGCCCCCTTACTGCTGTGGGAGCAGGAGTAGGAGCAGCCTGTTGGAAAACAGCGAGACCAGCACCCCGCAGCGCTCAGTGAGTGGACAGCAAGGCCTGGCTAGGTTCTGGAAGTTGTTGCCACCCTGGATCCCAGGACACCTGCAGGCATACTGCAGAGGACCTTCCACCCACAGCGCAGACCTTCTGCCCAAGCACTGCACAAAGCCAGCCTCTGGGAGGAGCCATCCCTCCTGGACTCCCATGGATTCCAGCTGCTCTGGACAGGGGATGTGGGATCAGAGGCAGAACAGCAACATCAGATCTGGGCAGGACTGTGGCTGCAGGACAAGCAGACACATGCCAGGTGGCTTAGGCCCAGGTCAGGGTGCAGACCAGGGCGGGCTAGGAGATGATGATGGCACCTTTAGGTGCCAAGCAGGGCATTTCCTATCCCATGCCTCCCCTGAGGGGACAGAGTGTCTCACCCTTGTCAAACCCAGAAAGTATCTTCTAGAACTTCCTGGGGTGGGGCTAGGCTCAGGACCCAAGGTGGCTGGGGCCACAGCCAGGAGCATCTCCCAGTGTGCCTTCCTGGACTCCATATGACCTGCACCCAAACCCATGGACCCAGAGCAGGAGGCAGCCTGAGACCCAGGGAGAGCTGCCTGGAGGGACAGCCTTGGACAGGGGAGGAAGGACTCCTGGGAGGGCAGGCCAGGGCTGCGGATCCGGTGGGGGTCAGGCCGCCCAGGGGCCTGCCACGTGCCCCATGCTCTCAGCAGTGAATTTGGTTCGGAGTTAGAAGTCCCACTGGAACGTACCACACCTCAAAAGTCAATTGGTCATCAGAAGTGTATTTGAAACAGGCACAGTGACTTCTGGGTCCCCTGCAATCCAGGCTCAAAGTCTGAGCAGTGGGGGGAGGTCCCCTCAATGCGCAGAAGCCCTGAGCTGGACCCTCTGCACTACCAGAGAAGTGCCCCACCCTCTGGACTGGAGATGAGCTGAAGTACCACCTCTGCCCTGGAGAACAGCCCCTGGGGGTGGGGTGGGAGGTCCCATCCAGCTGTCCTCCAGTCACCCTCCCCCCAGGCATGGAGGTTGGGTTTGGACCCACAAAACTGCAGGATGATGACTGTTCTTTCCTGCCTAGCAGGGGACAAAATCTGGGTGACCTCCCTCAACCTACCCACAACCCCCTGGGCAGCTCCTTATTGAGGAAGGGTGAGCAGGACCCTCTCACCACCCAAGGAGCTGGGCCTGCACCCAGCAGATGAAGTGCTAGGTTAGATGGCAGGAGCCAGAGGGGCTGCAGTAGGCACCATGATGCCCCCAGCTGTGTGCACCCTTGTGTGTGTGCTGGACAGGGGGTCTATACAGGTGACCTCTTCAGGAGCCCAGGCCAACTGGACGCATCCGAGCATGTCCCCCTCCTTGGAAGTGTCTACTGTGGCCCACTGAGCCTCATGGAACCCACTCTAGGGCCCTGCAGCTGGGCTAAGCATATTTCACTTGGAGCCTGGACCTGCCTGGCAACCAGGCTGAGAGCTGCCCCTTCTAGAGGTGAGTGCAGGCATGTGGCTGGCTCTGTTCATGAGTGGCCGTGGGCTCTGCTGGATGAAGGCTGAGTGGCAGTGAGCGCTGCCCATCTCCCTCCCGGTCTCTCATCCTATCCCCTGGCCCCTTAGCCAAGACTCATCTTAAGTTCCTACATCCTCCCCTGGTTCAGCCACTGCAGGCCTCAGAGGGCGGGTGGCTCCAGGGCCCAGCATCCAGGCCTGGGGTCCCTCTGCGCAGGATAAGGGGAGCCCGCAGGGCCTGGGGTACCATGAGAGCTCCAGGGCGCAGATGACCTTGTGCTGGAAGAGGCCTGAGCCCCACCGGAAGCAGTGGCTCTGCACCCCATGGATTCACTCAAGTCATGCAGGGAACCCCCAGGGCTTCTGCTTTCCCACACTTGGACCCTCGCAGCATGGACAGGTTCTGGGAGATGCAGCTGCCCAGCACTGGCAAGGCTCCTGACTCTCAGGAGCATCTTTCCCCGGGGCCTGAGAAGGAGGTGGTATTGCGGGCCACAAGACAGCCCTGCCTGAAGAGGCTCTCTTCTCTTGGCGGCACAGTCTGTGAGCTGGCGGGCTTGCTGGCCAGTGTGAGCAGGAGGCAGCAGGTGTCGGCAGCCTTGCCGTGGGACTGGGCCTGGCGCAGACTCATGTCGTGGGCGGGCTTTGACCCTCAAAGTGGCACAGAACCACGGGGCCTGCATGGGCAGCGCCTCACTTAGTGTGTGCTTGTGTGTGTATGTATACGTGTGTGCTTGTGTGCACGTGTGTGCTTGTGCGTGTGCATTTGTGTGCTTGTGTTTGTGATGTGTGTGCATATGTGTGTACATGTGTGCTGTGTGTGTGCTTGTGCGTGTGCACTGCACTGTATACTTGTGTGAGGTGCATTGTGCTTGTGTGTGTCATGTGTGCACATGTGTGCTTGTGTGTGTGCACTGCACTGGGCACTTGTGTGAGGCGCACTGTGAGGTATGTGGGTGTAGGTCCCATGGCAGGGCTGGGTCCTGAGGAGCCCTGGGTGGCTCTGGGAGACCCACATCGGACCTGGATCAGCCAGTGTGTTGGTCATCTTCCTGTCACTGTGATGAAACACTTGCTAAAAACAACTCGCAGGAGGAAAGGTCTTTTGGGATCCATGGGTCCAGAGGTTCAGCCCATGGCTGACGGGCTCCATGCCTCCGGGCCTGAGGTGAGGCGGAGCGTCGTGGTGGAAGGGCATGGAGGAGGAAGGCTGCTCGGCTCATGGCAGTCAGGAAGGACCTGACATCGTCCAAGGCCATGCCCCAGCGACCCACTTCCTCCAGCCAACCCTGCCTGCTAAGGCTTCCAGCACCTCCCAATAGTCCATTCAGATGGCGAATCCACCAAGGGGTTCGCCCACTGATGAAGTCAGGGCCTTCAAGGGTCACCACCTCTGAACTCGGTGGCATGGGGACTAAGCCTTCAACACAGGGGCCTTTGGGGACATTCTAGATTCAAACCAGAACAGCCAGGAGCAAGCAGTCAGCATCTCCACACAGAATGAGTTGGAAGGTCTGGGGAAGGGCCACTACAAGCCCCTCCCTGGACTCCAGAGGGAAATGGACGGGCAGACATGCAGAGACGCACGGCAGGGCAGACCCAGGCCCCACCGTGGAGCCCTTGGTCCCCTCACCCCTGGTTATGGGGCTCCTGTGCCGGCCACCTGGACACAGGCACACCTTTTAGGACCTGAGCTCCTGGCCACAATCAAAGAACAGCCTGTGTCCTGGTGGAGCTGCGGCCAAGGCTGAAGCTCTGCCTCCTCCCCCATCTGCGTCTCTCCGAGAGTGCCCACACCTTTGCTGGACCAGCGCCGCAGCCCGGCTCCCTCAGAACCTCCCACCACCTCCTGTAGGTGGGGCAGTGCACCAACACGAACACAGGGGGTGGCCGGTGAGGAGCACTGACCAGGACAGAGCCCTGGAGTCCAGGTGTCTGGTGGGTGGGTGTGAGTCAGTGTGTGTGGTGTGGCTGGCATAGTATTTATTGTGTGACTGTATGACTGAGGGTGGGGACGTGTATGTGCAGCTGTGTATATGTAAGCATGTGTGATGTGTGTGGACGTATGTGGGCATATATTACTGCATGAGTGGATGAGTGTGTTTCTGTGCATGTGTGTGCATGCATGTTCCTAGGTGGTAGGTGGGGACATGTGGGCTCATGTGTGCAAGAGTGCGTGTGGCAGCTGTGTGCCTGTGTGAATGTGGTGTTGGTACTGGCCATTGTGTCCCAGGGAGCCTATGCAGGATCTGCAGTGGCTCAGCGTGGGGAGGCTGAGCAGGGTCCTCTGTGTGAACTGCCCACAGCTAGTGTCTGGACACATGTTCCCGTCATGCAGGTGTGGCTGAATGTCACGTGACCATATCGCAGGCTGGCTACCTCGTCCACTGGGCGGCTCCCTGGGCACTGGAACATGGCCTGTAGGCATCGACCCGTGGCTCAGCCTGTGCACAGTTCGGTGTGCTGGCCAAGCTGTGAGCCTGCCAAGCCAGGCTGTCCCTGAGCAGGTGGCCGGCTGGGCACAAGCTCACAGGCTCTAACCAGCCTCCCGGGAGCACAGCCTCGTTCCAGCGCTGCATAAGCAGACACCTGCTTCAGGCCACATGCTGGGGTTCGCCAAATGATCACAGTTTCGACTGCCAGAGAACAGTGGGATGAGTCTTTTTAAAAAAAGACCAGGCCAAGAGGGGAGTGTGGTTCAGTGGTGAGGGCTTGGGTGGGACAAGGAAGCACAAGCCCCTAGGTTCCAGCCCCACAAATAAACAGGTAGATTTTAAGAGGCTAGAGCGGGGTTGGGGGCTGGGCTGGGGCTCAGTGCACTTACCTGGCACGTGTGAGGCACTGGGTTCAGTTCTCAGCACCACATATAAATACATAAGTAAAATAAAGGTTAAAAAAAAGAGGCTAGAGTGGGATGTGGGGGCCCTGCTACAGGCTCAGCACTCAGGAGCAGCTGCACCCAGGAGCGCAAGACCAGCCTGAGACATCCTGAGACTCCATCCCATAAGTAATGATCATAAATGGAAAAGTCCTGCCTGAAACTCCTTTCCGACCCATGAGAGACTGCTGCGAGCCACCTGCTTCCTGAGAGCCCTGCTCCGTGTTGGGCGTGTGGCCTGCCTGGGGCAGCCCCTCGGTGGGCTCACGGAGGCCTGTCTTGGCAGGAGAACGTGTCTCTGGCTGACATCCTCTCCCTGCGGGACAGCGGCCTCAGCGAGCAGGAGGCCTGGGCTGTGTGCCTGGAGTGCAGCCTGTCCATGCGGAGCGTCGCCCACGCGGCCATCTTCCAGACGCTGTGCATCACGCCCGACACGCTGGCCTTCAATACCAGTGGGAACGTGTGCTTCATGGAGCAGCTCAGCGGTGAGGCCAAGGGCAGGCTGCTGGGTGGGCCCGGCGGGGCAGAGGCACCCTCCTGGGGTGAGCCAACAGCCATGTGGATGGAGCGCAGACCCAGAGACCAGGGTCCTTTGCAGCCCGATGGGATCCTCGGCCCGAGGTACCACAGAGGGTGAAAGGCGGTTGCCCATGGGACTTGGGTGGCTGGCGGGCTCCCGCTGCCCCAGGCTGTCACACATGCCCTCAGAGAGCCCAGTAGGGGCTGTGCCAGCCTGAGCCACCCACCATAGCCCCCAAGGGGCCCTGCTCCAATGGGAGACCCCAGAGCCTCCTCTCCCTACTGGTCTGTGGGGAGTGGCCACAGGACACAGGGGACCTGACCATGAGGCTACCTGTCTCAGGTGGGCGGGCGCCCTGCACTGTTCCCAGGGAGAGCAGAGCTGCTGGGCCACTTCCCAGGTGCTCCTTCAGGAAGAGGGACAGAACCCTTGTCCCCTTCCCCTGTAGCATGGTTAAGGGTCCTCTTTTTAACCACTGCTTCTCCCGATGCCTGGACCATCCTCCAGTGGGGCGGGATGGAGAGGTGGACATGACCCGGGCACCAGTGGCCCTCCTGACTGCTCGGAGGTTCCTGGCTGGGTCTGCTCAGTGGGTCTGTCCGCCTGCTCCTTCACAGGTGATTAGAACAACGCCTTTTCTTTTCCTCTCCAGATGACCCCGAGGGTGCCTTTGTCCCCCCAGAGTTCGACCTGACTGGGAACACCTTTGAGGTACGCGCTTCAGGAGGGCAAGCCACTGAGCCCCGAGCTCCTGCTACCTTTGGGGGTGACCTGGCCACCCTGGCCACTACAGCGGGCTCCAGACTGGCCCCTGAGTGCTCCTGCTGACCCCAGGGGAGCTGCCTTTGGGCCCCATCTTCAACCTTGAGGACAGTGTGTGTTTGGAGGGGTGGCCTTGGGCCATTTGTCCTTACTGTGATTTCCTTTCCTGCTGAGAGCATATCAAGTGGCCTCTGAGGACGTCCCTGCAGGCTGCAGATAGGGAAGGGGAGAGGGGGGCTGGCAGGGAAGTGGCCGAGTGCCTGGGTCCTTCTGTGGGCAGCAGGCAAAGTGTCCTCCCTCGCTGCTGCAGCGTGTGTCCTCCAAGGGCTTCTACCCCATGGCCCAGCAGGTATTCGCTGATGTTTCCCACCAAGGGCTTCAGAGCTTTGTACTTCACACGTAATCTTTTTTTTCAATATTTTTTAGATGTCGATGGACTTTTATTTTATTCATTTATTTATATATGGTGCTGAGACTCGAACCCAGTGCCTCCCACATGCTAGGCAAGCACTGTACCGCTGAGCCACAACCCCAGCCCCTCTTCACACTGAGGCTGTTGTTGTTTTTTATTCAACTACAATTAATAATCAAAATCTGGGCATTTCACGGTGTACCAGGCCACGCACTGCCCAAAGTGCACACCACTGAGTGACGAAGTCAGACTAAGCAGTCCGTCCACTCTTTCCCAGTGTGACACAGGGACCCCTCTCCTCCTTCCGCATCCCAGGCAACTTGCCAGTGCAGTTAGTGGACCGGCTCCCTGCCACGGGAGCAGACTCTGTCCTGTGGCGCCCCAGGTCCATCCCTGCACTAGAACTGGCCTCTAGATCCCCCAGTGCTCAGCAAGCCCTGTGCCACGAGGGCTGTGGCTGCAGAGTGGTGCTGCTCCGGCACTTGATCCCAGGTGGATTCTGGACTCCGCTCTGCAAGTCCCAGGAAGCTCTGCTGGCGTGTGGCGGGAGTGGCTTTAAGTTAGATTCCGGGTCTCCTCTGTGAGCATCTGACAGCTTTTTACCTGCTGTGGTCTTTTTAACATCTTAGCAACAGCTAAAGCTTTTACCTGTCGTGGGTGTGAGATTTTTATTAGATTTGTTCTCAGAAATTCGTTACATTCTGCTTCTCTTCTGAAATGGACGTTGTGTTTTAGTAGCAGTTTCTCCTGCTTGTTGATAGTCTACAGAAGGACAGGTCGCTTTACCACCCTAACCTTAAACCCACCCATCTGCAAACTCCCGTGTTGTTTCTAGTAGTGGACAGATTCCCTCAGCTCTTCATCTCCCACCTAACCAGCAGGGTCACTCCCTGGGGCTGCCTTCCTTGGGTGCTGAGCCAGGGTCGAGGCACAGTGCGGGTCCCTCCTGTCTGGGGAAGGATTGCCCCGTCCAACAGTGCGCCCCACCCTCCCCGCAAGACACTGGCCCTGCTGCACTGATCACGTTGATCACCAGTGCCGTTGCCCGCGTCTGTGAGGCGTTCCTTTGCTGTCATCCAGATTGACTTTACCAGCCAGGCGCCGTGGCGCACTCCTGTCATCCCAGAGCCCGGGCAGCTGAGGCAGGAGGATTGCAAGTTCAAAGCCAACCTCAGCAATTAATTCAGCATTGCCCTAAGCAGCTCAGTGAGACCCTGTCTCTAAATAAAATACAAAATAGGGCTGGGGATGTGGCTCGGTGGTCGAGTGCCCCTGAGTTCAATCCTCAGGACAAAAAAAAAAAAAAAAGACTTTACCTATTTACTTCCTGGTATTAAATTGCCCTTTCCCACCGAGGAAACTGGCCAGGTGTCCTCTCTCCTACATGCAGTGGAGCTGGACTCAGGAGTGTGCTCTGTGAACCCCCTGCACGCTCCGTGGGTGCTGGTGGTCTTCCCTCTCTGGGCACCGGGGTGGTCCGAGGCCTGTCTGTACAGCCCTGTTTTCCCTGCATGTCTAAGAAGGGGATGATCTGTCCTTGACAGTCCAGCAAAGCTCGCTGTTTCCCGGCAGAAACGTTCATTGTCACAGCCGATTATTAATAGTCACAGGACTAACCTGGTTTGTGCTCTTCCGAGTGGGTTTTCTGGTCAATTTCAGCAGATGACAGTGGGCTCAGGTAGAAGGGTTGGCTGCAAGTGATGCCCTCCTGTAGCCAGGGGTCCTCAGACTGCCACCTGCACCCAGAGCGCCAGTCTGCACCTGCACTTCCCCCTCCTGTCGGCCGCACAGCATTGCTTTCTGGTCTGTTCAAGGTCTGTGCTCTCTCTTGGCTGCACACTCTTTTATGTTGATCACTCTGTCTCCCTTTACTTGTTTTGAGTTTGGGGTCTGTTCCTTTTCTAACCTGAGTTGGACCCTGCTCAACCATTTTTAGTTCCTCTCCCCAACATCCGTGTTGACAACACAAGGCTATGAATTTCCCTCAACGAGTGAGTTTTGCCGCATCCTGTGAGCTTTGCCACATAGCGTTTGCTTCTAAGAACTTTATTTCCACCAAGATTCCTTCTTTAGCCCATGAGTCAGTCAGTCTTGTGAAGGGGTTGAGCTTTTCTTACTTTTCATTGAGATATGTATACAGAAAAATGATACCTGAGCACACAGCCCCATGGGTTCTCTCGACTGCATATCCCTGTAAGCAGCATCCACACAGCCAGAGCGGGTGTTTGCACACTCGGGACCCACCATCCCTCAGGGGCTCCAGGGCACAAGGAGCTAAGAGTAGCTTCTCTGTGCTGTTCTGCTTCCCAGGGTGGACTCAGCAGGGCTGGCCAGGCGACTCCCGTCATGAGCATGGGGTCAGTGGTGGGCATTCAGGCCCAGCAGCCCTCTCTTCCCCCTGAACGCACTAGGCCTTTCTTTCTGCTCCTAACTCCTAACTCGGTGGCACTGTGGCTGCAGAGGGCTGTCTGTGTGCTGTAGTTGTCTGTGGTTTGCTGGGGTTCTCTTTGTTGAGAGGTTCGTGCTCCCTGGGCAGGACGCAGCTTCCTGTGATGTGACCCCAGCCCATGCGTCGGGCTGTGTCTGGGTCTTCTGTCGCACTGGTCTGTTTTAACTTATTGCCCACTCACCCTACTGGCTATCGAGGTGAGTGCATTGAGATCCAGGCTCTGCTGGCGGGCAGACATGGCTCTCTCCATAGAGGGTGCTGAGCTCCCGTGTCTGCAGAGGCACTGAGGCCCCCCCGGCCAGAGCCACCCAGCTCACAGGAAGCTCTCCAGGAGGACAGTGGGGGGCAGCAGGGCTCAATGTATTTTTAACCAGGGAGCACCCAGGGAGCTGGTGAGTGGGGAACAGAGGAAGGGCCCCAGGTCCTCACCTCAGAATTGTCGAATGCCAAGGAACTTCTAAGTTCCCAGATAACAATCATGGTTCCATTCTTCTACCCCCAGAGCAGGTGGGTCCTTCCTACCTTGCCCTGTGGAAAGGCCCTTCAGGTGCACCAAGGCCTGTTCCCACGTGGACAGGGGGCCCATCATCCCAGCCAGCCTGAGGTGCCCGGAGATCTCTGATCTGTCCCAGATGAACTTGGCTCTGGGGCCCTCAGCCAGGAGCTGCAGGACCCCTGTATGACCTAAGTGCTGCACGTGGCCTCAGGAGCGCAGGGCTCAGATGCACCTCCACCTGGACAGCCCTCGCCCCGTTCAGGTGCACACCAAGCCAGGAGCAGGTGCCCATGGCCAGCTCACCCTCCAGGTGCCATGCTGCTCTCAGGAGCGTGTGGCAGGGCCAGGTGGACACCACGGAGAGGCACCCTGCCCGGCCTCCTGGGTCTCTGGACTGAGGTACTAGCCCTTTGGGCCGAGGCTGCTGGCTGCACCCAGGCTGAGCCACCCCATCCCTCACCTGTGCCCCTCCTGGTACCCCAGACCCCATTGTCCAGTCATAGCGTGATGGTGCTGATCAATGCAGCTGGGCCCTGCTCCTTCCCTGCTGGCCTGCCCCCAACACACACACACACACACACACACACACACGCCTCCCTGTCGCTCCAGCCTCAAGAACAACCTCCCCCAGCCCATCCTATACTCCAGGCACCATGCAGCTGCCCCTCCTGGGGCCATCTCCCCTCCACCTCTGAGACTGACCCCTGGGCTCTTTGAATCCCCGGACACACCGAACACCTTAGTCCTTGCTCAGGAGACCCCACAAGTTGAGCTTGCTGGGCGCTGGCCCTGTGGGCCTCCTCCAGCCCATGACCCTGAGCACTGTGGGTCCAGGGGTCCAGCCAGGAGACGGGCTGTGTGGCTGGTGTGTCACCCACCCAGGGCCTGTGCTCAGCAAGTGCGGGGCACAGAGAAGCTGTGTGGATCTGAGTGGACACTGGCCAGAGGCCTAGGGGCTTGTGAGACAGACAAGGTGGAAGGTGGTAGAGGGCAGGGCTATGGCCTCCCTCTCTTGCCTACGTCCTCTCTAGCCATTCTCAGACCCTGTGCTCACCACTGCCCCTGTCTTTGTGAAGGACGACACTCAGGATCCCCTGAGGTTCAGAGAGGGTCTGTGGTTTGGCCAAGGCCTCACAGCATGTGAGCAGAGACCAGGCCATTATCCCTCTGCCAGGAGTGGGGTGGCTTACGGTCCTGGTGTGAGCACGAGGAGACAGGACAGACTCAGGACACTGCAGTGACACGGACCCTGTGCAGGGTGCATCTTGGACGGGGCAGAATTACCTTGTCTGTCAATACGTCTGTGGACCTAGACCCCAGAAGAACAGAGAATGTCAGAGGCCAGCTGAAGCAAGACACGTCCCCAAGCAAATGGCACCCTCTTTGGCAATTACCAGCTAGAAATGAAGCTTATATGTCCCATAATAATAGCCACAAAGCCCACAGAAACCAGGGTGCCAACAAGCAGGAAGGACTATGATGCAAGAAAGCAAGCCAGAGGCAGAGAGCCCACACTCGGGCATGGAGTATCACGTGGAGGCCCTGGGTCCCTCCCAGCAGTGGGAAAATGGAGTGTCCAGTCACCTGTTGGTTAAAGAGAAAACTAACAAAAAAGATAGGCCATGGCTCGGCAATAGAGAAATTATTCTGCAAAAAAATTGATCTCCCCCAAATTAATATAAGAAGCCACTGCAGTCACAGCACCATCCCAGCCATTCTGGTGTGTTCTTCAAGTGCCCAAGGTCCAATGGCATCGCGTGGCACAGGGGACAGCAGGCCGCTGTCGGCCCCACCAGGACCTGGGGCCGGCCTTCGGCATGGGTGGTGTCCTGGTGTGGACCACGAGGAGGGCCCACTCTCAGGCGCACAGTTAGGAAAGCCCCCACTTTCTTTTTTCTTTTGTTTTTTATTGGTTGTTCAAAACATTACAAAGCTCTTGACATATCATATTTCATACATTAGATTCAAGTGGGTTATGAACTCCCGTTTTTACCCCGTAGACAGATTGCAGAATCACATCGGTTACACATCCACATTTTTACATAATGCCATATTAGTGACTGTTGTATTCTGCTACCTTTCCTATCCTCTACTATCCCCCCTCCCCTCCCCTCCCCTCCCATCTTCTCTCTCTACCCCATCTACTGTAATTCATTTCTCTCCTTGTTTTTTTTTCCCATTCCCCTCATAACCTCTTATATGTAATTCTGTATAACAATGAGGGTCTCCTTTCATTTCCATGCAATTTCCCTTTTCTCTACCTTTCCCTCCCACCTCATGTCTCTGTTTAATGTTCATCTTTTCCTCCTGCTCTTCCTCCCTGCTCTGTTCTTAGTTGCTCTCATTATATCAAAGAAGACATTTGGCATTTGTTTTTTAGGGATTGGCTAGCTTCACTTAGCATAATCTGCTCTAGTACCATCCATTTCCCTGTAAATTCCATGATTTTGTCATTTTTTAGTGCTGCGTAATACTCCATGGTATATAAATGCCACATTTTTTTTATCCATTCATCTATTGAAGGGCATCTGGGTTGGTTCCACAGTCTAGCTATTGTGAATTGTGCTGCTATGAACATCGATGTGGCAGTATCCCTGTAGTACGCTCGGAAAGCCCCCACTTTCAAACAAAAAGCAAACCCGCATTTTCCCTGCTGTTGTTGAAGAGTGCCTAGGTGGGTCAGCGTCGGGGGCCTGAGTCTGCACCACAGGGCCACTGTGGCTGGACTGGACAGGGGTGCAGAGGGTGCTGGTGGGGCCTCTGGGACCCTGGAGTGGCGTGGCTGCTGCTGCTTCCTCCAGGAACAGTGGCCTCAGTGGGCAGTGCCCTGCCGGACTGACAGGTGCCCCGGGTCCTGAGCACAGCAGAGGGTGCCCTTGGGCAGAGCCGGAAATAATGGCTCCTTGCTGCCGCAGGCTCACATCTACTCTCTGGGGGCCACACTGAAGGCTGCCCTGGAGTACGTGGCGGAGTCCGAGCTGGAACCCAGGCTGAGCCCAGACCTGGAGGCGCTACTGAGCCAGATGCAGGCGGAGGACCCCAGGGACCGGCCTGACCTGGAGGTAAGTCCGCAGTGTCTGCCTGCCGATGCCCACAGCTGATCCCTGCCCAGCCCGCCACACGTCTAATGCTGCACACCCAGGCACACATGCACACACTCACACACACACACAGAGACCCCAGAAGCCTCTTCGGGGTCCCTCAACCAGAATTAGGTGGCACTGCATTGTGCTAACAGAAGGGCACGACTCTTAGTGTGCATGTTTGCAGTGAAGGGTTTGCCTTACAGTCGGCGTGGGAAAACAGAATCCCGTTCTCTGCCACCCAGGACACGTTGCCTTTTCACACAAAAGGTGCATGTGGTGGGCAAGTGGGCAGCCGGGGACAGGCCACCTTGGAGCTTTGTCTCAGGAGGGCAGCCTCTCTGCTGAGAGACCAGCCTCACTGAGCGGCACGCGCATGTCCACAGAGCATCATAGCACTGTGCGAGGAGAAGGTGCAACCCGGGTCCTCCTGCCGCCTGTGCCGGAGCCTCTCAGCCGTCGGGAGGAGGGTCCTCTCCATTGAGTCCTTTGGCGCGTTCCAGGGTAAGCACATGCATCCACACACGTACCTGCCTGCACACATGCACACACATGCACTTGTAGGCATGCAATGTGCATCGAATGTGCACACACATTAAGATACAGGCACACTCACACTTGCTCATACCAACACCCCTACAAACACCCACCACATCACATAGTCACATGCATGTGTGCTCAAGGAGAGCTGTGTGCACCCCACAAACACAGCTACGCTCACATGCGTGCAGATCCACAAGTCTATTCACACTCTACACAAGCTTGCAAATGCCTCTGCATGTCTGCATCATGTGCCACGGATGCCACACTGGCATGTGCACACTCATCCAGTGACCTGAGCAAGACGTGCAGGGAGAGCTGAGCACTGGGCTCACACTCAGAAGCCACCGAAGCTGGTACTGTCAACCTCTGCCTGCCCCAAACTGCCCTGCAGAAGGAAAGCCCTGGGTCCCACACGCCCCACGCCCACACCACAGGGGTCTGCAGACACCTGCTGCTGTGTCTGGGGCTTCTTTGCACGTGTGGGACTCTGGTGGAGTCTGGGGAGCCTCAGGGACTTGAGAAAGGGGTGTGCAGGGCCCGGTGGCTGGGGGTCCTCCCTGCTGAGAGTGGCCACCTGCATTGCTCCCACAGCAGGGAGGGTTGGTTCTGAGGTGCAGAACCGCCCTGGGAGGGGTGCTACTGAAGTAGGCCGCAGAGTCCCATAGGGCCAGGTGCATGGAGGACTGCCCCGGGATGATGTCCTGTCCTGGTCAGCGTGACCTGTGCACTCGTCATGGAACCAGGAGCAGCTGGGGACGGGAGGCTTGGACAGGCTCGGGCCAGCCAGGGAAGCTGTGCTTGGCAGGGCAAGGGAGGCCCTGGGGTGACCCCAGGAGGTCTCTGGGCTCTGCCCTGAGGGAGGGGTGGGGTCTGGAGCGCAGGACGGGAGTCCCCCACCTGTGAGACCTGTGCTGGGGGCTCGGTCGCCATGGTGACCACCCAGCAGTCACCGCCGCTCCGTGGTAACCCCCTGCTGCCAGACGTCGGGGAGAACACTTGGAAGGGAAGGCCTGCCTCGAGAAGCTCGGGCCCCAGGAGGCCTCCCGGGGACTCCAGCGCTGGCCCAGAGGCCCTGCCCACGCCGGAGAGCCTGCCCCAGCCCACCGCACGTGAAGACCCAGAGCAGGAGGCCATCCGGGGCCCCAGACCCCCGCCCACCAGGCCACGGCTATCAGCCCCCATGAAGAACGGAGAGAACCCTGGCCGGGAAGGACTGGCCAGCCTCGTCCTGGACAGCAAATGTCCCCTCCACGAGCTGGACACAGATTTCCTCAGGCGGCGCCTGAGGAAAGTGCAGACATTCCCAAGGCTGCTGCCGAAGGGCCCCGAGGCCAGCGCCCTCTGCTTCTCACTGAGCAGCCCCAGGAACCATCTGAGCGTCTCTGAGCTCTTCCCCCCGGACCCCAGGGTCTTTCTGGAAGGGAAAAATGGCCTCCCTAGCTTCAAGGCACAGCCCCAAAGCAGACTGTGGTCAGAGCAGCAGCCCAGGCTCCAGCTGGAAGGCGCACCGGGTGCAGGCCTCAGAGCGGACCGGGGGCTGAGGGCCTCAGGACAACAAGAGACCCCACTCCCTGGCCAGGAACCTGCGGAGGACAGCCCCCGACCCTGTCCCACAGAACCCGGAGATGCAGGCCGGGAAGCCCAGACTCCAGGGGACGTCCAGGGGATTCCCGGAGGAGCCGGGCAGCCGGAAAAGGCAGCCACAGAGCAGGTGGGTGGGCGAGGTGGGTGGGTGGGGAAGGCTGGGACCTGGAGCTGCCTGTTTTTGAAGGACGCTGGAATGTGCTGGGGTGGGGGCTGCGGGCACTATCACCCCAGGTGCCGCCTCAAGCCAGAGCCCCTCCCAGGGTCTTTGGAGGTGGGTGTTCATCTCTGAGTGGCCAGGAAGCAGCCTCCAGCCCCGCCAGACCAATGTACCCACCGATCAGCACATCCTGGGGCTGGATTTTTGCAACAGACTGAGGCTGGCCGCTGGGGCTTGGGGGCTGTTTCCCCAGTTCTCATCCCAGGGCCTTCCCTGTCCTGCTCTCATGATGGCTTTAAAGGTTAGAAACCAAAACTGGGCTGAGACTGCTCACCGTCCATCCTGGCGCCGGAAGGTGCTGGCAGTAGCTGAGCCTGATCAGCATTCTGGTCAATTCCGGGATTCTGCATCACACCAAGATGGGGCCTGCAAGGCTGGGGCTTCAGACAGGACAGTGTACCCCAGCCAGAGGGGTTCCCCCAAGCAGGACAGGGTCGTCAGACAAGACAGGTCCCCTGGCATGGAACCCTCCTTGTGAGGGACAGAGGGTTCTGCTTGGAACCAACCATTTGGGAGATTTGTGTAGTTTTCAGCATTGCCCTAGACCATCAGAATAGCTTACGTTTTTAGCCCTTCTATTCAGTCAGGGACACCTGAGCTAGTTGGAACTAGCAAGTATATCATTAATTTTTCATATTTGTCAGTTTCTTGTTACTATAACAAAATACCTGAAACAGGCCACTTGATTTAAAAAAAAAAAAAAGGTTTAACTTGGCATACACCTGTAATTCCAGCAACTCAGGAGGCTGAAACAGGAGGATCACAAATTCAAGGCTGACCTGAGAAACTAAGAAAGACCCTGTCTCAAAATAAGATTGAAATAAAGCAGGGATGAGGGAGGGGCACTGGGGATGTAGCCCAAAGCCTGCCTAGCATGCTGGGGGCCCTGTATTCAATCCCCAGTACAAAAAAGGAAGAAGAAGAAAAGGGGCTAATTATTTAGCTCACTGCTCTGGAGGCTCAGGTTGAGGGCCACATCTGATGGAGGCTTCTTGCTCACGGGGCATCACGTGGAGAGGCAGGGAGTGTGTGTCTCTGGTCTCTCTTCCCCTCTGAAGCCACAGGGTTTGTGGGCTCCCCCATGACAGTGACTCTGCACCTCCCCAGCCCTCTGCCAAACACAGGGCCGGACTCCATCCCACCCTCTCACACCTGGCAGTGGGGACAAAATGCCTGCCGCTGTGGGGCCTCAGACCCACAGCACAGCACAGAGCTCCCGCTGGCTGCTCAGCCTCCTGAGGTCCATGTCCCCAGGCCTGGTGCCCCTCAGGGCAAGGACACTGAGCCAGTGGCACAAACAGGCCCGTCCACTGGGCAGCACCCAGGCTCGAGGACAAGGTGACAGCAACAGCCCCTTTCCACCAGGCTCTGTGGCCCAAGGGAGGAGGGGTGGGCAACTGGTCACATTGTCCTTCCTGTTCCCATGGCGGGGAAGGACACCCCAGGGAAGCACACAGCCATGGCACTGAGCCTGCCTGCTTGGGCCTGGCGCAACCCATGCTCAGCCAGCTCCCACCGCGGCACACGTGGCCCCAGCACCTCCCGGGGCGGGACACCCCACATACAGGGCCTCGTCATGCCCACCTTCCAGACTGCGCGTCACGGCCGGTGGCAGAGTGGCCCGTCAGAGGGCAGCATGCGGAGTGGCTGCGCCAAGGTCTCCGGCCAGGCACAGGGTAGCACTGACCAGCGAGTGCAGCTCCTGCTGAGCCATCAGACAGAGCTGGGGTCAGGCCCCCTGGCCCCCGGTGTGGGGGGCGGCCTGTCAGTCATGCCCACCCCAGTTCCAGCCCCAGCAGGCAGGCCATGGGTCAAGAGAGGCCCACACGGCCATGAGCAAGGAGGAGCTGAGGCACTGAGGCCACATGTGGCTCAGCCTTCAGGGGTACCGGGGGCTGTGCACAGGGTCCCCAAACTTCCGACACCCAGGCTGGCAGTGCTGGCCCCAGCTCACACGTGGAGGAAGCACGGGAATCCAGGAGTTCCTGTGTGAAACACACGGACCTTAAGACCTGCCTGGGCCAGCCGATAGCCCAGACCACTGCACAGCCACCTGCCACCCGCCCCGCGCCCAGCCCCCACCCCTCATCACCCCCACCAGCCACCTGCCCGCCAGTCCATCTGGGCTCTGAGAAGGGCCCCAGCCAGTGTCTGCAGGAGGCACGGGGTCCATCCTCCAGGTCCACATGTCACCGTGCCTTCCTGCCCCCAGGGAGCCACGTCCTCACCCCCCCCCATGGACAGTGCAGGGACTGTCACATGGACGTGCACACTGCACCCTGCCCCACCCAGTGTCCAGGTGTGCCCAGAAGCAGCATCGGGATGGCCCGGCCGTGCCCTCGCCACTCCAGCTCTCTCGCGGGCGCTGTGCGTGGAGTGGAGGCGGCTCTCACCTGTCGTCTCGTGGAAGTGCTTCCCCAAGGCGGCCTCACAGGACAACTCTCCCCCCACAGAGCCTGTCCCTGCAAGACCTCCTGTGCCAGCTGGGCCGGCCCTTCCGGGAGTATGAGCTTTGGGCCCTGTGCCTCGCCTGCCTCCGAGCCCTGCAGACCCACAGCCAGCACCCAGGTGACCTGGGGCCCGGGGCAGCTGAAGAAAGGCTGGGGCGGGAGTGTCCACACTGTGACCAGGATGCGGAGCAGTGTCCACGCTCTGAGCTGGGGGAATAATGTCCAAACAGTGACCAGAACGGGGCAGTAGAAGTGTCCACTCTGTGAGCTGGGGGCAGCAGTATCCATACTGTTAGCAAGGACAGAGGACAGTGTCCATGCTGTGACCAGGACTGGGAGCAGTGTCCATGCTGTGAGCTAGGGAAGGGGGCACTGTCCACAGGTGAGCTAGGGTGGGGCAGTGTTTTGCACTGCGTGTGGCCTCCCAAGCTGGACGCTGCTGGACCATAGGACAGATGGGTGGTCATCTGTGTTCTCCAAGCTCTTGAGGCCGTGACAAGAAGGGTGTCTAGAAGAGATGGAGGGTTGGGCACGGTGGCCTCTCTTGTCATCCCAGTGACTCGGGAGGCAGAGGCAGGAGGACCCCAAGTTCCAGGCCAGCCTGGGCAGCTTAGCCAGACCCTGTCTGTGTAGAGTAAGAAGAGAAGGGCTGGGTGCAGCCCTGGGGCAGACCACTTGCTCGGTGTGTCTGGGGCCTCGAGATCCAGCCTCCCAGGTCAGCCTCCCCGGTCAGTGCACAGCGTGGACCACAGCCCAGTCCTCTTGGTCCTGCCCTTTTCATCCCCAGCTTGATGAGGGCACTACAGCAGTGTCTGCCTGAGGCCCTTCTGCCTGGGGGTGGAAGAGGTGGCCCAGGACCTCTGTGGCAGGAAGAGGCTCAGGTAGACTCCTGGCGTGCCCTGGGTGACCAGGCCCACAGGAGGCCTCTCCTGACCCGCATTCTGTTGCAGCCTGCCTGTGCCTGGACAACGTGTTGGTGGCCGAGGACGGGGCTGTGCTCTTTGGGCCACCCCCTGACAATGGTAGGCACACGGGCCGGGGGCCCCTGGGGCCGAACCCTCGTGGGCACACCCTAAGCTGTGTTCTCTCCTAGGCTCTTACAACTCGCTCTTCCTGGCTCCCGAGGTGGCAGAGGAAAGGCTGGTGACAGAGAAGGTAATGCCCAGCTCCTCAGGCCACCGTCCGCACCTCGACAGAGCCCACACCCCTCTCCTGTCCGGTGCCCCCTTGGGTGCCTTGGCTTGCCTGGCAGGCAGCTGGGCAGTGCCCAGCACAGGCCTCCTCCAGGGCACAGGCAGAGCCAGGGTGGGGTCCTGGGCAAGGCGAGTGTGTGTGCCGGGCTGCCCCTGGCTCTGGAGGGCCGAGGGCAACGTCAGGAGTACTCAACACTTGAAGTACAGTAAGTACAGCAGTCAGCACCGGGTCCTCCACTCGGGGAGGTGGAGGGCGCTCCAGAGGCTCCCGGAGCTGGACACTCCTCACACCCGAGTCTGCAGGGAGAGGACAGGCAGCTCGAGGGCTCCCCTGAGGAGCTCCCTAAGGGGCAAGGCAGGGCCTCATGTGGAGACTTGGAGCCAAAGAGGCCGAGCTGGGCAAGCCCAGTGGGCAGACGGAGCTGGTCCCCCGCCAGAGGAAGCAGCGGGCGGTCTAGACATGAGCCCCCTCTGCAGCCCACACCACAGAGCGCGTGCCACCACACTGGCCAGCAGAGACAGGAGCAGGCCGTCACCCTCACAGTCAGCGGGGACCACAGCCAGGCAAGGCCAGAGGTCAGGCTCCAACAAGATCGGGGTCCCCACAGGAACACAGGTTTCCAGTGGAGATCCCCCCAAAGAAAGCGCCGGAGGTCCCCACTGGAATGAGATGGTGTGGGCCGGGTGACAGACGCCAGGGGTAACTAAGGGACGTGGGAGCAGCCATCCTAACAGGGCTTCAGTGAGCAGATACCAACAGGCTGGAAAAAAGGACAAAACAGAAACAGGAAGTTACCACAATGAAAGAGAAAACAAAGTGCACGTTTTTAGAACTAAGTAAAAAAAAAAAAAAAAACCGACTGCGTGGGCTGGCGGGCTGGCTCAGTGGTAGAGCACCTGCCAGCATGCTTGAGGCCTGCACTTGGTCCCAGCAGCACGCGCACTCGAGATGGATCAGCAGATGGGCTTGGGACGGAAAGGACACGGGAAAGGACTGGTGCAACCCAAGACAGAACCACAGACGTGACACAGTGTGAATAAGAAAGAGGAGAGAGACTGAGACCTGCACAGAGCCTGAGGATTTTGTGGGAACACGACAAAAGACGTAGCACCATGTCATCAAAATCCTGGAGGAGAATAGCAGGTGGGGCAGAAAAGGTACTCAAAGAAATCATGGATGGAAACTTGCCAACTATGGCAGAATGCATAGACCTACAGATTCAAGAAGCTAATGAAACCCAAACAGAATAGATTCCAAGGCATCCACAGCACAATCAACCCCTGCATGCTGCAGACCAAAAGAGAAAAGAGAAGGAACCACAACTGCTGTGCAGGGCAGCCAACTCGAGGGCACCTGCCACATGCCCACAGGCTCCAGGCCTGAGTGCAGAGGGCCCCGTGGCCAGCACAGGCTCTTCAGAAATGGAGGACAGGGCAAGATAGCCTCCGGTGAACGGCAGCTGAGGACTCGTGGCCAGCAGATCCACTCTGCAAGAATGGCTAATGGAAATCTTTAAGCAGAAAGGAAAATGGAAGGAGGAGGAGGAAGGCAGGAAATGCTAAGAAGAACACATGTGGCCACCCCAGTCACCCCAGCCACCAGGGGACTGAGGCAGGAGCGTTGCCAGTTCAAGGGCAGCCTGGCAACTTTTTAAAAAAAGGTTGGGGGATGTGACTCATGGTAAAGCAGCCTGGATTCAATCTCCAGTAACTCAAAAAGACAAGAAATACCATGGATAAAATGGAATTTGATGGAAGAGAAGAGAGAAGACAGGAGTTACCAGCACCAGAGAGAACAGAGGGGCATCTCGAAGGCCTGCAGACGTGGAAAGCTCAGCCTGGGAGGGCCACCCACAGCCCTCACCCACTCCGGAGGCGCAGACAGAATGCCCAGTTCTGCAACAGCAAACCACCACCACCCAGGATGAAGCAGGTCACCCGAACAGCCCATTAAGTATCGAGGACATCGAGCTTATAATTTTAAAATTCACCAGAACATATCTCTAGGCCAGATGGTTTCACTAGAAAATGATGCCAAGTGTTTAAAGAATAATTAACACCAGTTCTACACAATTTTTTTCAAGAAAGCAGAAGAGAAAAATGTTTCCCAATTCATTTTATGGAGTTACTATCACCCCGATCCCAAATTAGACAAGAGTACCCCCCCCCAAAAAAAAATCAGTATCTCTCACGAGAATGAAGGCACATGCAAATGTAATGCAGCAATATAAACAGCAGTCATACGCCTCGGCAGAGGGGTTCTATTCCAAGGATCCAAGACTGCTTCAATACTTGAAAATCAGTGCAGACAAGCTTATTAACACTACAGAACAAAAACCCACAATCGTGATGATTGATGCAGAAAAAGCATCAGACAGGGTCTAACGCCCATTCATAAGCTTACAAAAAAGAAGAAAAAACTCTAGAAAACATAGAAATGGAAGAAACATCTTCAAGTTGACAAAAAGCATCTACCAAGAAAATAAATAAATAAATGCAATAAGCAATCCGCGGCTAGTGTCATAGTACTCGGTAGCCAAAGACTAAACGTTTTCCCCTAGATGAGAACAAGGCACCACCCTGAGCTCTCGGGAAAGCATCTCAGGTGTGGGCTGCGGGCCCCTCATCAGACCAAGCGGCTCCTGTGCACAGGGAGCAGGCACCTGTGGAAGGGCCTGCTGCTAACTGCAGGCCTGCACAGCTGGGCAGGTGTCCAGAGTACCATGTGGGCAGCTGCCCTCCTCGCACTGCCCACCAGCTACCTGTGAAGACGGAGGGGGCGTCCCAGTGGAGCTCTTCACACTCCCATGTTCAAAGTCCAGACCCGAAAGGGGGTGTTAGCCATGCAGCCCCCAGGCCATGCCCCGGGGCTCCCCTGGGGGCTGGCTAGGGTGGACCCCCAGGCTCCAGGCTGGTCCTGGCTCCAAAGGACTATGCCTTAGTGCCCCTTAGGACACCAGGTCTGCCAGGCCTGGCGGGGCCCAATGGCCCAGCTGCCACGGTCCTCTTCTTTCCGCCCTGCAGGCTTCTGTGTACTGCGTGGCCGCCGTTCTATGGACCGCAGCCAAGTTCAGCATGCCCCGTGAGCAGAAGCTGGCCTTGCCACGCAGACTCAAGACCCTCCTACTGGACATGGCAAGGCGCCACGCCCCTGAGCGGCCATCTGTGGCTGAGGCCATTAAGGTAACCACAGGGGTCATGCCCTGCTCACAGTCCCGGGGCCTTCAGGCCACTGGGCAGGGAAGGGAGTGAGTCTCATTCCTTGGCCAAATCCATGTGGGCAGTCAGAGTGGGGCTGCCCACAGCCCTGGACCTCTACCTACTGTCCCTCCTGCTATGCAGGCTACCAGCTGCGGTTGTCCTGTATGTGTGCAGGGACTGGTCCTGGCCAGACCCACAAGGCTCTGTAGTGAGACCCTCTCCTAGTCTGGTGCCTCTCGTCTCCGGCCCACAGAGGTAGCAGAGCCAGGGCAGCCCCTGGCACCTGCCCCGAGTGTCAGCAGGGAGACATGGAGCTCCTGTTCGGTTTCTGTTCACAGCTGCACACGGGGAGGGCAGACCCCAGAGGTGGAGTCTCACTGAGGTCTTCCTGGCTCTCGCCCACCCCGCTGCAGCATCAGGGCACACGGCTGGTGTGGTAGGGCTGAGGCCCGAGCCACCCACTGGCCGGCCCAGCCTTCTCCCTGCCCTCAGGTGTGTGGCAGCTACCTCCTCCAGCGAGGCATGGACAGCAGCAAGATCCTCGCCCACCTGCGGGTGTCCACCTGCAAGGTGAGACAGCACTCCATGTTCAGGTGACCTCGCAGCGGGCACCCCAGGGGCACTGGACTCCCCAGTAGGCAGCAAGTTTGGCTTGGCCAGCGTCTCCCATCCCATAATGCTTCCAGTCTCACCGATGGGAGCACAAGGGAGGCCTCCGTGCGGGCCCCTGCTCTGAGTCTCAGGGGCAGAGGCCCTCCGTGCTGGGCTTCTCCATCCCTCAGAAAGTTCCTCGAACTGGAAGCATGGGCAGGTGTCCACACTGCACCCCCAGTGATCCCTGATGAGTTTTCTATGGCCCTCTGCGCAGGTCCACCAGGAGGAAGAGACCATCAGCCTCCAAGACACCTTCTCTGTGGTTGAACTGAAGCCCCGAGCAGCACCTGCTCCTCAGCCCAGCCCAGGTGGGTCTGCCAGCTCCCGGGAGTCCAGCCCCCTGGAAGTCCCGCCCCGGGGGGTACCTGGCTCCCAGACCGGGACGGCGAGCACAGAGGGCAGCCTACCAGGCCTTCCTGCCCACTCTCCACTGCAGACTCCCTCTGCTGCCCAGAACTGGGCCAGCCCACCCCCCCATGCACGCTCCCAGCCCAGTCCTCACCCGGCCCAGCTCGGTGCTGCCAGCTCCCTCCCAGCAGCTCCTCCACCCCTGGCTGCGGCCAGCCCTCCAGTCTGTCGCCTGGCCTCAGTCCTCCCCAGGCATGGACACTCCACCTTCCAGGCCCTCTGGCCAAGCCTGACAGAGGTGGCTCTGGGGAGGCATGCAAAGGGCACAGTACCCAGTCTTGGGGCACAGTGAGCTGGGGGCCCCTAGGTGCAGAGTCACTCTAGAGCATCTGCCAGCCCCCTAACCACCCTTCTCCCCACCGGCTACCTCAACCACCCATGGCCCCAGGCTTTCTGCCAATCAGCAGTGACACCAGGCTGGTGGCTGTGCCAGGGCCTGTGCCTCACCCGCCCTCCAGCGAAGGAGCCAGAGAGCTGCCTGAGGCCTTCAGCTCTGAAGCCACGCACTTTAAACCCATCGTCCTCATGCAAGACTCAGGTGTGGCCAGGTGAGCATGCCCACCCTGGCTGGTGGTACACAGCACGTGGGTGGCCCTCCTGAGCACTCTTCCTCTCCCCACAGGGACCAGCTTGCTGTGTCCTCAGGGCCAGCCAACCAGGCTGAGGAGAGGAGCATCCAGCTGGACACAGAGGGCAAGGGGAAGCAGGGAGCCCAGAATTTCTCGGGGGCCACCAGCCTGGAAACACCTTGCCACTCAGAGTCTGGTCCAGGGCCACAGGGAGCAGCCCCAGAGCCTGTTGGGGACCAGGAGAGCTCCTGCCAGTCAGGCCCTGACCCAACCAACCAGCCAGAGGAGGCCCCATCAGCAGGGCCTGGGTCTCCAGGCCCTGCCCTGCCCCAGAAGGCGCTGGCACTGCCCCCCAACCAAGGGCCTGATGGGCAGGCCCTGGCTGGAGTCATTCAGCCCCCAGGGCCCTCCTCAGCCAACCACAGCCCATGTCATCCATGCAAGCCACCCAGGAGCAAGGCCACAGAGCCAGAGGGTCCCCAGCCGTCGGCTCAGAGCCCCGCCCTGGCTGCACTGAGTCCAGACAGCCCCAGGGGCCCAGACAGACACCCCGAGAGGCCCCGGACAGCAGACCGCAAGATCTCTCCGTCCAGTGTGGATGCCTCATCCCCCTCCAAGAGGACGGCCTGCCCCTCACTGCAGGAAGCTATGCGCCTTATCCGCGAGGAGTTTGCCTTTGATGGCTACCTGGACAACGGGCTGGAGGCTCTGATCATGGGTAGGGGCCACAGGCCAAGAGCAGCCCCAGGACCAGGCAGAGGAGGCAGACACTGCCCCAGGGGGAGGCTTGAAGGGCAGTCTGGAGCCCCAGTCATCAGCCCTACCAAGGGCCACCAGGGGCCAGGGACAGCACCTGGCAGCCTCGGGTGGGAGGCAGGTCTGGGGAGCCCACCCTGTGTCCCCCCACCTACACCCAGCCCTCTGCACCTCGAGACCACCTCCTCCAGGTGACTGGAGCAAGAGAACAAGAAATGCCCAAGGTACCCTGTTGTCCACACAACCAGGGGAATACATTCACGCCTTGAAAGACCTCACCTTCGCCACCTTCTGTGGAGCCATATCTGAGAAGTTCTGTGACCTCTACTGGGATGAGCGGCTGCTGAAGAATCTCTTCAAGGTGGTCAACCAGCCAGCCTCACCCTCCGAAAGGTGGGTGAGCAGGCCGAGACCACCTTCCAGGCCCCGCCCCCCAGGGTGACTGCACACATGGCCACTGGCCACGGGGTGCTTGCCTGGGAACTCTGCTACCTGGGGGGCAGGCCCACCCTAGCTCGTGGTTCTAGAAGGTGTTCTGACCTGTCCCTGAGTCCTGTCCAGCAAGCTTTGTGGGGCCAACGCCCCAGGAGGTGCAGGCTAGAGGTGAGAGGTCCCACCCTCCCCCAGCGTGTGCAGGTGAGGCTCCCCGCTGGGGGCCAGCTGCATCGGCCCAAGACCATCCCAGAGGGCAGGGGTCTTGACCAGTTGTTCTGATTATCAGCACTTCCCAGGAACCGGGGTCTCAGCCTGAGGGCTCGTCAGGCAGCTGTTCAACCTTCGGCAAAAGGCCCTCGCTCCACGGACTGGGTAAGAGATACCCCTGCAGCGCGGGGAACAGGTGCGCACTCTGCCAGCCAGTGCTGGCCCTTCGGGAGCAGGAAGGGCTTTGGGTGCCCAGGACACCCAGGATCCTGGGGCTGAGGGCTGTGAGTTAGGGGCCTTCCTCCTCCCTTTGCCAGCCACCAGCACCCACTGAGGCCTTTGCATCCCCCTAGAAACACTGGCCGTTTAAACACTCTGAGCTGGTTTCCCAGATCATCAGCTCAGGCTCCAGGTCAGCTGAAACCTAACGTTCCTAACCTACTGCGGGAGCAGACGGGGGGGTGCTGACCACACCTGGCTGCAACGGGGCCTCCACAGTGGCCTCATCCCCATTTAAGCAAACCAGGGAGCAGATGACAGGCCAGGCATGAGGTCCACCTGCTCTTGATGGCCAGGGTCCCAGGAAGCCACCAGCACAGACAGAAGCTTCAGAGTCGACAGAACCAAGGGCCTGAGGGTTGTAGGGAAGGGACAGAGTGGGGTTTGAGTCTGAATGTTCCAGAGAGGATGGGCTGCAGGGACAGAGGGGCCTGGTCCCACAAGAAGTCTGGAAACAATGCAGATGCCTACAGGAGGCCTGTGGGAGGGCCCCTCACCTGGAACTTCACCGGAAGTCTGGCTTCCTCAGCCTCCAGCCCTGTCCCAGGATTGCATGGCTGGGACCTCCCCCAAGGGCATCCAGCCGCCCCCACGCGGCATGAGCAATGTTCCCCACACTCCCTGGGTGGCAAGTCCCCTTTCATTGGGACACATGACCTGAACCTCCTTCCTGACCCTCATCTCTTTCTCTCAAGGCAAAGAGAAGGTGGTGGCAGCCCGGGGCAGCGGGGGCCCCTGCTCGCCCACCACGCAATCGGACAGAGACTCGGACATCCTCTCACAAGGAAACTTTGAGGTGGGATTCCGGCCTCAGAAGTCGATAAAAGCTGCTGGAGAAGGGCAGCCTGAGGTGAACGGGCAGCAAGTCCCTTGCCCGGAGCCTGCCAGCAGGGCCTCACACATGGACACGGTGGCCCGGCTGGCCAGGCCCAAGGAGCGTGGCCCTGCTGGGTCTCTGGGCCCAGCAGAGTTCCGTAGCTGCAGCCCTGGCTGGTCCAGCGCCTTCTACGAGGCCGACTGCTTCGGGGCCGATGTCCACAACTACGTGAAGGGTCTGGGCATGCGGAAGGCCAGCGGGCACCCAGAGCCTGAAGCCGAGAGCCCTGTGAGTCCAGGGCATCTGCCCACTGGGGGTGGGATCACTGTAGGCAGAGGGCCTTGCTCAGGCAGAGCTTTGGGTCACCCTGAGGGTTGATGATGACATACATCCTGTACCCCGTGGCCCACTCCGGGGTCCTGTGGGGACGGTGCTCTGCTCGTTGGCACACGCTGTGCACATTCTGGAGGCAGGCAATAGCTTTCCTCTCCTGTTACGGAGCGTGTGGAACCGGTTCACCCATCCTGGCCACCAGGGTAAGGCTTGGGTCACCTCCCACTGGGTGGGCGGTGCAGCCTCTTCCTCCTTATCTGGTCCCTTGCCTTGAGCAGCACCGTTCGGAGATGACAGCAAGCACCAGAGCGTCTTGTCCGCAGCAAGTCCTGGCTGGACCCGGGGTCAGTGTGGTCTGGCATGGGCTTATCTGTGGGCAGCACCATCCAGGTCAGGGGCACCCCAGGCTCTTTGTTCCGGGTCACGGGGCACAAGCAGGCTGTGGCTTGAGCAGCTGGGCCTGGCCAGCGCCATGTTCAGGAGAGCTCTGGATGGACGGCTGCTGTCCCTGCTCCTGGGGCCCCACAGTGACCAGGAGCCCCCGGCAGGGCCACAGCCGCACAGGTCCAGGCCCATGGGGTCTGACAAGAGGAAACCCCTCAGCAGATGGGCTCCTGGCACCCCCTGCCCACTTCGTTCACACCTCTGGCCCAGCCCATGGCACAGGGCAGTATCTCTCAGCCCTGCACGTGTGCCTTGGGACCCCACAAGCTGGGGCGCTCTGCACAGACATCCACGGACTAGCAGGGCCCAGATACCGGGCCTTGCAGGGGAGCCCATAGCACCCCTCACCTCTCATACCAGGGACTCAGCGTCACGAGGCTCAGCCCTGAACAGGACCAAGGTGCCTGGCACCTCCCGGGCCCCAGAATGTCCCTGAGCCTCGCTCCTTCAACTCTGTGGGGCCTCCTCCTGCTTCCCGTCTTCCTGCCCCTCCTGGAGCACTGCCCCCCACCCCCAGCCCCACTGTCCAGGCGGCAGAAAGTGCCTGTCATCCATCGGCACAAGAAACAGACCAGGAGGGGTAAGGCACTAGCACAGGTGGCAAGAGACCAGGCTCAGCACCCTCAGGACATGCACCAGACCAGAGGTCAGGCCTCCACCAGTGGCGACCTGAGTAGCACTGCCCTGCAGCTGGGTGCTGGGAGCCCTGACTGGGCTGCTCCAACGCTCAGACCATGAAAGAGCCCAGGTACAGGGGTGTATATTGCGAGGCTGTTCCAGAAGGGGCCATGGGCTCTACCCCCAGAAAAGACCTTGAAAACACGCGAAGGCCAGCTCCTGCTGACTTGGCTGTGATCCCACAGCTGGGTCCAGGTTCCTTAAGCACTGACCCGTCCTCAGCCAGTTGAGGGCACAGGTGGCCAGGCCTGATGTCACTGCTGTGGCTCCTGCTCAGGATGGCTATACAGGGGTTCCTCTGAGGAGGGTGGCTGCCCTTAGGGCACAGGGGACAAGGAGTGGCCTCCTCCCCTGGGGGAATGTCGGATGAGTTTCCTGTGCCCTGGTCTGCGTGGTGGGTGGCTTAGGTGAGACATCACAGCGCTTGTGCCTGTGAGAAACCACTGTCTGCCTCAAGCAAGGAGAGCATCACAGTTTGTGGGCAGACTTCACATTGCGACCCAAAGAGCAAGAGCCTGCACAGGCAGCCCCTTCACTGGGGAGGGGAGGGTGGCATTGACCACCCACAGCATGAACAAACAGCCCCTGAGCACCCGCCGGCCACAGGCGGGAATGCATGCTGCAGTGTCTGCAGCTGCGGTTGCGCACCCAACACCCCGTGTCCCAGCCTGGGCACCGGGTTTTGCTTCTGCTGTGGAAACGGACTTTGCTTTCTGTGTTTTGGGATTGGCAGTGGCTTCAGTTCATCCCTGTTTTCTTCCATTTTTTTGTAATTTCCGGGTTTTCTAACCTCTGATTGTTGCTTTCTTTGTCTTCCCTGGGGTCCATTAGCCATTTGGCCAATTAAATCCAGTAGCCATTGTGCCTAAACTGCACCTCAGATCACACACACTTACTTCTGTAATAAACCAGTGCTCTTCTGATTTCCTAAGCGCTCTTGGTCAGGATAGGGGCAAAGCCTGCCTCACCGTCCCTGCAACTGGGCCTGACCAACCACCTGGGCCTCGGGCCACGCTGTTCTGTGCATCAGCCACGGTGTGGACCTCATAGGGAGGCCAGCTCTTGTGACTTCCCCTCCAGGTTGTGTGAAGATTACGTCATGTAGATCTATCTAAAATCTGCACCTGTCTGCAGGGCCGCGCGGAGCCAAGTGCTGCTCACGTTGGGAGCGGCCTCCATGGCCGCACGTCTGCACAGTCTGTGTTCTAGCAGGCGGCAGGCACGTGCTGCCTCACAGGGAACCACCTCCAGGTCCCCAAGTCCTTAGCACCCACAAACCCTCCCCAAGGATTTGTCAACATCAGCACCTCCACTGCAGACAAGAGACGACAGGGCAGACAGAACCCGGTACAGGGTGACCTCCAGGGACAGACAGGAGCTGCACAGCCCTGGGGCCATGGCCCCCCTCCTCAGAGGCCAGGATCACAGCTGTGAAGACCTCTGGCCTGGCTCCAGCCAGCAGACAGCTGGATACAGCCTGTGCACACAGCTCGGGAGGCTGCAGTTACCAGCCTCGACCTATGAGGTGCCCTGGTCTTCCCCAGGACAGGATGTTCTGGGTCTGCACTGTGTACAGGGAGCCACCACATGCAGTTTCTAAGCACTTGAGTGCTACTCGTGTGGCTAAGGAACTGGCACTTCAGTTTTATTTCATGTTAATAATCTAGATAGCCTCATGTGGCTCCAAGTGGGAGGCCCAGGCTTTGGGCACGCAGCCATGGCACAGGCTGGGACCCGTCCTACTCCCCACCACAAAAGAGAGCTGGTTCAGACCGCCATTGAGGGGAGGCGGACTGGAAGCCTGGCTGTGGGATGTCAGACCCAGGCTCTCCTCCACCCCTGGGAAGGTGATGCTCAGCAGCTCTGGGGCAGTGCCAGCAGAGGCCCTTGCATGGGGTCCTCACGTGGTCCTCACGTGGTCCACACCAGTGTTCTCCAGTGCATTTCCATGGAGACAGACCCTGCCCGGAGTGTGCCTCGGCCAAGCTGTGGCAGGGCCGGAGGTCTTGGCACCACCTGGCTTGACGGCAAGACTCAGGTTCTGCTGGGTCTGGGCCCTCTACAGCTGCCTGGGCCTGGCCACATTGACCATCGTGGCGCTGCCCACTGGCCCACACCCCATTCCCTATGGGGACAGCCCAGGCTCAGTCCCAGCTGAGGGCCCAAACTCACCCCAGCCCAGCCCATCCAGCTGGGCCCAAGGCCCCTGGGTGCAATTAGGGAGGCCATGTCTCAGGCCATGGGACAGAGGGGACATAGTACCTGGAGGGGGGCTGCCTGCCAGGCTACAGAGGTGTCCTGGGGGAGTAAGGCATCCTCCTCCTGAATGTCAAATGAACCCTCGAAACATCTTATCCAGCCAGGCACAATGGCACACTCCTGTAATCCCAGCAGCTCAGGAGGCTGAGGCCGGAGGATCACTAGTTCAAAGTCAGCCCTAGCAACTTAGCAAGGCCCTAAGCAACTTAGTGAGACCCTGTCTCAAAACAAAAATTAAAATGGCCGTGGATGTGGCTCAGTGGTTAAGTGCCCCTGGGTTCAATCCCTGGTACAAAAAAACCCCACCTCATCCCAGGAATAGCTCAGACCCACCTGGTATAGGGTGCCTCGAGCAAAGCCCAGGGCAGGGGGGTCTGGCCCCAGTCCTGCTGCCCTCATGGAGGTGGACTGATGCCTGCAAGGACTGATCACCCTGACTCAGGTGAACCCTGCTGTCTTCTGGGCAGGAACCTGGATTCCAGACAGGTTCAGGAGAAACGCTCATAGGCACACATGTTCATCTGGAGAGGCCACTAAGGGCAGGGGCGAGCCCTGCTGCCCTGGCCTGGAGGAAGAGGGGAACAAGATCTCAGGAGGAGTGGACATGTCCCAAACAGGGCCCCTGGTGGGGGGAGGGGCAGACCAGAGCTCGTGGATGAGGTGCCCCTTGGGGTGATGGTCACTGTAAGGTGACACACCACTGGCTGCCCGGTTTCAGGGCTCCGTGGAGGCACCTCCTCCCGTCCCTTTCTCCTCAGTTGACAGGACAGCTTTATCAGCCCTCCAGGCATGTCCCCCTGGCCTTGGCCTCATGTGACGGCCAGGGTGGCTCCGGCTACCGTGGCCCCGGGCTGGCAGTTGGGCTGACACTGTGTGCTTCCTCTTAGGAGCTGGAGCAGCAGCTCCTGATAGAGAAGAGAAACTACCGGAAGACCTGGAAGTTCTACCAGAAGCTCTTGCAGAAGGAAAAGCGCAACAAAGGTAAGCCCAACCCGACAGCCAGGCCAGCCCGGGGCCTGGGGGCCACCAGTGCCAACCGCTCTGCCCCGCAGGCTCCGAGGTGAAAACCATGTTGTCCAAGCTGCGAGGGCAGCTGGAGGAGATGAAGGCCAAGGTGCAGTTCCTCAGCCTGGTCAAGAAGTACCTGCAGGCAAGGCCCTTCCCCTGCGCGGCACATGGCACCCAGGTTCCCTCCCGGGGCACAGAGGCAGGGTGAGCGCGCTGCCAGCCGTGACGGTGACTCGGCCCTCCTCCAGGTCATGTACGCAGAGCGCTGGGGCCTGGAGCCCTGCGCCCTGCCAGTGATCGTGAACATCGCGGCAGCCCCCTGCGACACACTGGACTTCAGCCCCCTGGACGCGTCCTCCTCCCTCATCTTCTACAACGTCAACAAGCCCCCGCGTGGGGGCCGGCAGCAGAAGGCCCGCATCCTGCAGGCTGGCACGCCACTGGGGCTCATGGCCTACCTCTACTCCAGGTGCGCACAGGTGCCCGGGGAGCTGCCTGCCGATCCTTGGGCACGAGGTTGAGAGCAGTAGCGGGAAGAGCTTATTCAGGAAAAGGAAACAGGCCCCAGAAGAGGCAGGGAAAGCCCCATCTAAGCTGGGCTGTTCTTTCATTCAGGAAAATGTTTGCTCATTTGACCTGTGTTCACTGTCACTGCTGTGCCAGGTAGCCTCAGCCGTTTCTGCAGATGCCCCGGCCTCGGGTCTCAGGGTGTACCCAGGAGGTTGTCCTGGGAGAGTGGAGAACAGGCTGCATGATGAGCACGCCGTTGGGCTTCCAACACGAATGCTCACGGGAGCCTGGTACGGCCCGGAGGGGTTGACACGCCCTCTGCCATAACCCCTGGAGCAAGGCATGGGTTGGGCTCAGCACTCAGTGTGCCTTGCTGCACCCCAGCCTCTGGTGTGAGCTCTGTTTTGCTGTCAGATGCCCTGAGTGACCACCAGGAAGCAAGGGAAGAGCCCTGGAACCCACTCCCTCTGCCAGGGCTGCAGAGCCATCTGTGGCTAGGTGCCCACCTCTCCCACACACCAGCCCCATGCCCTCTGGCCTGGCAGGGTCACCAGGTTCCCAGGCACCAGGCCTCCCACAGGCTCTCTTCCCCCGATGGCACGACCCACACTAGACGTGGATCACCTGGGCTTTCCCAGATGACAGGGCTCCTCCCAGGCTCTACACCATTGCATCCTCTGGGTCAGGGGCTGTGGCAACCCCAGACCTGATCATTGTGTATCAGCAGGGCCCAGAGAGGACAGTCAAGGAACAGGATTCCCTCTAGAGACCCAGGCCTCCTGGCACAGCTGCCTCCTTCCCACCAGCCCTGTCTCCCAGGAGCACTCACCCAGTCATGCTGGGGCCTCCTGCCTGCTGGGACTCCAGGCTGACCCTCAACTCAGCCTCCCCTTGCCTGCAGGAGGGTGCAGTCATGCCCACCATGGGGCCTGCTGCCAGATTCAGGGGTGTGCTGTGCTCCAAGTGTGTATAGAGCGATGTGCGTTCATGGGCGTGTGCTGTGTCTGTGATGTATGGTGTGGTGCATGTGATGTGTGATGTGTACTGTGTCATGTGGTATGTGGGGCCTTATGTGGTATTGTGGTACATGTGTGCATGTGGATGATGTGTTGGGTAACATGGGTACTGTGTGATTGTGCATGAGTTATGTGCAAGCTTGCACACACACAGTGCACACTGGGGTGCTGTGTGGTGTAGTCGTGATGTGTGGCATGCATGCTTGGTGTACACGCAAGGCTGTGGTGCGTGTGGGAGCTCAGCACTGTAGTGGGCGGGGCCCTAGTGGTGGTGAATGCTCACGAGGCACGAGGGCCTCTGCCCAGCTCTGAGAAGCATCACCTTTGCAGGGCCAGCTGAGCCGGCGGCTGTCTAGTCCCCCCCTGGGCTGTGGCCATGAGGGTCCTCGTCCCCTAGGGGTCCCCTATGGTGGACACAATGTCTCAGCCCTGGACTCCTCCCTGGACCTGGGCAGCACCCTGTCAGCCCTCCCCTGCCCCCAGCCCACCTGTGGGGCTCCAGTCAGTGTCCCTAGCTGGGACACCCAGTGAGGACACTGTGAGCATGGTGCTCCGTCCAGGTGCGGCTCCCTGAGCACCCGAGTGCAGCCCTCGGAGGCGGCCTGCGGAGTTGGGACGGGGGCCTGGTGCTGTACATCAGGAAGGCTGGGGACTTCAGGGATGCAGGACCCCAGGGGCATCTGAGCTGCCTAGAGCTCCCCCATCCACACCCAGGAGCACACAGCTCACACAGAGGTTCTCCTTCTCAGAGCACACAGCCACACAGCCACACTCCCTCACACACTCACGCTCGCCCCAGCCCCCCCCCCCCATCGTCAGCACAGGTGAATCCAGGTCAGGGAGAGACCCCTGAGGCCCAGGCTCCAGGCTGTGGCTCTCTCCCCAGCGATGCCTTCCTGGAGGGCTACGTCCAGCAGTTCCTGTACACCTTCCGGTACTTCTGCACACCACAGGACTTCCTGCACTTCCTCCTGGACCGCATCAGCAGCACCCTGTCCAGGTACCACCAATTGGGACAGGCTGGGGAGAGGGCCCTGTAAAGGGCAAGGTGGCCCCAGGTGACCCCGAGAGCCTCACCAGGGAAGGCCAAGGCTGGGACGCAGAGCAGCAGGGTGCAGGGCAGTGGCCAGCGCATCTGGGTGCCCTGGGAGGCAGCCCGGTTGGCGAGGGCTGGCCCCTTCCTGCTGGCCCAGGGGAGAGCCAAGCCCACCCCCAGCAGAGGACAGCCAAGCGGGGGTAGAGGCCTGCTTGCCTCAGCCTCCCTCTTCAGGGCAGCAGGGCCAGTGACAGGGGCTGGAGAGGGGCAGAGGGCTATGGGGAAAGCTCTGGCCTGGTCTCTGGCCTGGCCGGTCATCACCCCATACACCCCGCATGCCCCTCACCCACACAAGCTGGGTGCCCCACCACAGGCATCCTGTCTCCCTCCAGGGCCCACGAGGACCCCACCTCGACCTTCACCAAGATCTACAGGCGGAGCCTCTGCGTGCTGCAGGCCTGGGTGGAGGACTGCTACACCGTGGACTTCACCAGGAATGCAGGGCTGCTGGGGCGGCTGGAGGACTTCATCTCCTCTAAGGTGGCCACTGCACCTCTGGCCAGCCAGCACTCCAGGCTGCACAGAGGGAGGCGCTGCCCTGACCCCAGCCCTGCCATGCTTCTGCTTAGATCCTGCCCCTGGACGGTTCTGCTGAGCACCTGCTGGGCCTCCTAGAAGTGGGCACTGACCGGCGGGCTGATGGTTCCCCTCGCAGCACAGACCTAGAGGATCCCAAGGAGGCTGAGGAGGACACCAGACCCTTCAATGCCCTCTGCAAGAGGTTCTCAGAGGATGGCATCTCCCGGAAGGTGGGGGCATTTCCCAGGGAAGGGCTTCACTGTATGGGCAGACGATGTTCCCTGAGACCCACCTGGAGGACATGGTGTGCAGGTGCTCACATGCACATGCATAGACATCCAGAGAATGCATGCATGTGCACACACGATCTGGAAGACAGTGTGCACATACAGGAACACACTTGCATACACAGATCTGCACGTGCATGCATGTGTGTATATGTGCGCACTGTGCGCATGGACCTGCACTCACGTGTGTGTACACATGTGCACACACATGCTCTCCATGCACATTCCTCTTTGGGGCTGGTCCCTTGCCCTGGGCAAGGGCAGTGGAGGGGCCCACCACGCACTCCCATGAGGTGGGTCCTACTGTGCCTAGCCAACGCCTCTCTGACCTTTGGGTGGGAGGCCTGGGTGGAAGAACCCAGGACAGTGGTCTTTGTTCTAAGAGTGAATGGGAGGGATTTGCTCTCTGACTCTGGCTGAGCCAGTCTGAAGAGCCCTGGGCAGGACCCTGCCTGTCCTCACCCAGCGCCCCCCCCCCACCTGGCCTGCCTGACCTAGAGGGGACCTGGCTTGCCCACAGAGCTTCTCCTGGAGACTGCCCCGGGGCAACGGGCTGACCCTGCCACACCACAGGGAGCGCCAGTACACCATTGCGTCTGCCTTGCCCAAGCCCTGCTTCTTCGAGGACTTCTACGGCCCCTACACCAAGGCTAGCGGGAAGGGGTCCTACTTCCTGACAGAGTACAGCACGCACCAGCTCTTCACTCAGCTGACGCTGCTGCAACAGGTGCGTGGGGGCTGCGGGCACCAGGAGGGGGCAGAGGACCCATACTGGGCTGGCCACAGGCAGCAAGGGGCAAACCAGGGACAATCTGGCATCATGGGCCTCAGCAGACACTTCCTGAGCAACAGATGGGACAGTCGAAGAGGGACCTGGCTGCCAGGAACGCAGGTCCCAAGGAGCAGCTTCCAAGAGTGGGGAGGCTGGAGTCAGGGTCAGAACTGGTCTCCAGCCAAGCTGGACCCTCCTCTCCAGCTGCTCAGGGCACACAGATGGCACACAGGTCACCACACACTGGCCACCACACTCTGGACCTGGGTCAGCACAGCTCCTCATGCCCTTGCCCAATTCCTCTCTCTGCTCCCGGCCTGGGTCCAGAGCCCAGGAGCCCCTCCACGACCCCCTGCTGTCCTAGGGTACCATACCATAAGGCAGGTGACAGAAATGCCAAGAAATCCTACCATTATCAGGGTTGGCCATGTCACCGGCCCCAAGGACTGAGCACGGGAGCTTGTTGGTCAAGTTCATGGCACACTGGCCCATTGCACAGGTCACCCTATACTCCAAGAGACGACACCAAATATCCAGCCCTCCTTGGGACACTGCCGTGGTTTCCAGGCCCTTGGGGACAGTGGCCTGACCATCTGCTTCTATGTCCCGGCAGGAACTGTTTCAAAAGTGCCACCCCGTCCACTTCCTGAACTCACGGGCCCTGGGTGTCATGGACACAAGTGGAACCATCCCCAAGTGAGTGGTCATGGAGTCCCAGGCCCAGAGGTCTGCTGGAGGGTTCGGGGGCCTCCCCCAAGTGCCTCCTGGCTGCTCCTGGCTGCAGAGAGGCTCCGCACGCCCCGGGGCCGGGCGGGGCCACCAGCCCCATCCCCAGGTGAAGTGCTCCGTGTTCTCCCCAGAGCCAGCTCTTCCGAGTCTCTGTCTGCCCAAACCTGCAGCCTGTTTCTGCCCAGTTACATCCAGGACAAGTACCTGCTACAGCTTTTAAGAAATGCAGACGACGTCAGCACCTGGGTGGCTGCTGAGATCGTGACCAGCCACACCTCCAAGGTAGGCACCTCCTGGCTGAGGTCAGAGAGAAGCGTGGACCCACGGGCGTCGGGCCCACAGCCGGCCCCTTCTCCAGGGGCAGGGAGCCCACACTTCCTGTCCCTCACAGCAACACTCCACCCAAGTCAAAGGGGCCAGACGGGCATGGCCGTCACATTACCAGGCCGACCCTTCCTCCTCTGCAGAAGCTCCAGCTGTGGGCTACAGGACACCAGGACATGTGGACCCTGCCCAGAAACACCGGTCACGCTAGTGCTCACACTCACATCCCTCTCACACATGGTCCTTTACACACAGACCCGCAGACACATACAGCCCCT